TGTATAGGATACAAAAATCCTTGATGGAGGATTTTGGCTGGAAAGAGCTTGATGATGGATACAATTTGTGGAAAGCAAGCACACAATCAACCTTGGGACCCTTTGTGAATCCGATACAATATTCTCCTCTGGCGAAAGAGAAAAACTTTTGCAGGAGTCCCATGGTATGTGAGCACAAGCTTCTTTCAAAAAAAGTTTAAAAGCAAGATATTTTATTTTATTTATTTATTTTTTTTTAATTTTTTGGGGGGGGGGGGGGGGGATTTTTTATTTTTTTAGGTAAATTACACTAACATTTCTTGAGGTTTAGGGAATATACATCAAGCCTCCCAAATTTGACATAATTACATTGTATCCGTTGAAGGTTTAAATTGATATGACACTTGGCCCTCATTTTCATCAATAATTTGTATGAATAAAAAAAAATATTTTCATCTTTTTTACACTGAAATGCGTATCTTCCCCTTTATCTCCGTGTCTACAAACTATCTACATTAGTTTTGATCGCTTTGGTCTTACTAAAAGGGATATCAGTGTAACATTTCCGAACTTGTGGAGTTTATTGTATTTTTCTTTCTAAAACTTGGGTGGTCAGTGTAATTTACCCTTTTTCTTTTTATTATAATAATTAGGTGTGGTTCTTCCAGAGCATGCATCCTGCCTTTTGGAGATTTTACTTTTTCCTGGTTTGACTGAGAGATAAGGGTTACATCCAAGGTTTGGAAAAGCAGTTGCGGTCACCGTAACAGTTGCGGTGATGTGGTAGCAGTTGCGGGGTGTAAAGGCCGTAGCGTAATGGTTGCGGTAACTGGAACTGAGATTTTTTATTTTTTATTTTTTACACAATTTGAAGAAAACTTACCGATGCGTATATTTTTTTTCTTTTAGAATCACACTTATTAGGGTTTAAAATAAATTTTAAACAATTTTTGTTAATTTTTAAGTATGATCTAATATATTTCATATTTTTAAATCACTATAAAATGAGTTTTTTACATTTTACTTTAATAGTTAATGATTTTAAGAATAATTGATTTAAATGTTTACAAATTATTTTTTACCAATAACTGAAGTTATTGAATAAAAAAATATTCACAATTATTAAATGAAAGGATTATAAAATAAAAATAGTGCCATAAATTTTTTAAAAAAAATTATGAAGAAAAAAAATTAATATAAAATTTTTTCTTTGGATTTGGATCACTTGAGTATTTATTTTTTTTTGCAAACTTTTCTTCTTTTTTTTTTTGGAAAAGGAAGCTATTCATTGTAAAAGGGTGTAACGATATCTAACGGACCGTTTTGGTACCGCTACAACAAGGTTTTAAAAAGTAGCCGCAGCCGTTACATAACGCCGTTACGTAACAGCTGAGGTGGTTACCACCACCTGTTACGTAACAGCGCCACCCATTACGGCCCGCTACAGCGGTGTGACAGAAATTCACATGTGTAACGGCCGTTTCGGTGTTACATAATGGCCGTAACAGTACTGTAATGGCCGTAATTGTCCGTTAGACATCGTTACACCTTTTTACAATATTTTGAATAGCTCACTTTTTCCAAAAAAAAAAAGGGAAGTTTACAAAAAAAAAGAACAAATATTTGAGTGATGCAAATCCAAAGAAAAAAATCTTATTTGAATTTTTTTTTTAAATTTATGGCACAATTTTTATTTTATAATCCTTTCATTTAATAATTGTGAATATAGTTCAGGTGTTAGTAAAAAAAAATTTGTAGATATCTAAAATCAATTATTCTTAAAATCATTAACTATTGAAATAAAATGTAAAAAACTCATTTTATAGTGATTTGAAAATATGAAATATATTAGATCATACTTAAAAACTGATCAAAATTTATTTTAAACTCCAATAAATGATTCTAAAAAAATAAAAAATAAATATGCATATCAGTAAGTTTTCTTCAAATTGTAAAAAAAATAAAAAAAATTACAGTTTCGGTTATCCAACCGTTACGTTACGGCTTTTACACCCCGCAACCGTTACCGCGTTACCGCAACCGTTATGGCGACTGCAACAGCTTTTCAAAACCTTGCGCTATAGCTGTTACGTAACACCGAAATGGTCGTTACACGTGAATTTCCGTCACACTGCTATAGCGGCTGTAATGGGTGGCGGTAATCACCACAACCATTACGTAACGGTGTTACGTAACGGTTGCGGCCACTTCTTAAAACCTTGGTTACATTGTTCATTTTCATAAGTAGCTTTTGAAAGAGTATTCGCCATTGAAAAAAAGTATTGGTTTGTTCAAATGCAAGACCTACTATTTGGATAGACTAATCACTTGGTTCACGCTAGTGCACTTACCGTTTAGATGCATCTCCTTTTTGACGCATGAATTTGTTACTTGTCTAAAATAGAATTGTGAGATTTTGTTTCGTTATTCATTTCTATATTTATATATAGGAGCTTTAACAATCTTGTTACGTGCTGCTTATAGAATTCTTCAGAGAACTTTATAGTCCACAGTTTTCTTCTATATTTTTTTGAGAGTTGCTAGGTCTACATATAGACTTCGTGGTTAGATGTTCATTTATCAAGTGTGGAAGCTTGAAGGGTCACATTTGTATGGGAGTACAAGTGAGAGATAGGACAAGCATACAAATGTGACCAATTTTGCAGTTCAAATGTGACATCAAGCAATTTTGTAGTTCAATCTGTTATTCATGCTTGTCCTATCTCTCACTTGTACTCCTATACAAATGTGATCCTTCAAGCTTCCAAGCTTGATAAATGAACATGCAATCACAAAGTCTATATGTAGATCTAGCCATTCTCAAAAAAATATAGAAGAAAATTGTGCACTATAAAGTTCTTTGAAGAATTCTATAAGCAGCACCTAACATGATCGTTAAAACTCCTATATATAGATATAGAAGTGAATAACGAAACAAAATCTCACAATTCTATTCTAGACAAGTAACAAATTCATGCGTCAAAAAGGAGATGTATCTAAACGGTAAGCACACTGGCATGAACCAAGTGCTTAGTCTGTCGAAACAATAGGTCTTTCATTTAAACAAACCAACACTACTTTTGAATGACGAGTACTCTTTCGAAAGCTACTTATGAAAATGAACAATGTTCTTGTTCAACTGGACCAATGTGCATTCGAACGTGCACATCTTTGTAGCAATGCAAATAGTACATAACTATTCGGATGTGCTTAGCCCACTAACCTATAAAACACGGATACGAGATACGGGTACGACCAAGGTTTAAAAAGCGGCTGCGTGGGGTGTTTTGGGAAGTTGGTAAAAAGCTGAATTTTTTGCTTTTTTGTAGCTTTTTTGGAAAAACATGGTAAAAAGCCAAAAAGTTGGCTTTTTATCGGGTTCCCAAAAGGGCACTGTGGTGGTTATTGCCACCCGTTACGGCCGCTATAGCGATATGACGGAAATTCACATGAGTAACGGCTGTTTTGGTGTTATATAATGGTTATAGCGCAAGGTTTTAAAAAGCGGTTGCGGGGTGTAAAAGCGGTAGCGTAATGGCTGCGATAACCGAAACCGTGATTTTTTTTTTATTTTTCGCACAATTTGAAGAAAATTTACCGATACGTATATTTTTTATTTTATTTATTTATTTATTTTTCAGAATCATTTATTGAGGTTTAAAATAAATTTTGATCAATTTTTGTTAATTTTTAAGTATGATATAATATATTTCATATTTTCAAATCATTATAAAATAAGTTTTTACATTTTATTTCAATAGTTAATGATTTTAAGAATAATTGATTTTAGATGTCTACAAATTATTTTTTACCAACACTTGAACTATGTTCACAATTGTTAAATGGAAGGATTATAAAATAAAAATTGTGACAAAACTTAAAAAAAAAATTATAAAGAAAAAAAATTCATATAAATTTTTTTCTTTAGGCTTGCATTCACTTGAGTATTTGTCCTTTTTTTTTTTTGTAAGCTTTTGTTTTTTTTTTGGAAAAAATAAGCTATTCAGAATATTGTAAAAGGGTGTAACGGTGTCTAACGGACCGTTACGATACTGTTATAGCCGTTACGTAATACCGAAATGGCCGTTACATAATACTGAAACGGCCGTTACACATGTGAATTTCTGTTACAACGCTATAACGGCCATAATGGGTGGCGGTAATTACCACAACCGTTACGTAATGGCGTTAACGTAACAGTTGCAGCAACTTTTTAAAACCTTACTGTAGTGGTATCGTAACGGCCGTAACAGTCCGTTAGATACCGGTACACCCTTTTATAATATTCTGAATAGTTTCTTTTTTCTCCAAAAAAAAAAAAAAAAAACTTACAAAAAAGAACAAATACTCAAGTAATCCAACCGGAAAGAAAAAATCTTATATGAATTTTTTTTTAAAAAAAATTTATGGTACAAATTTAATTTTGTAATCATTTCATTTCATTTAATAATTGTGAATATTTTTTATTTAGTTAGTTCAGATATTGGTAAAAAATAATTTGTAAACATTTAAAATTAATTATTCTTAAAATCATTAACTATTGAAGTAAAATGTAAAAAACTCCTTTTATAGTGATTTGAAAATATGAAATATATTGGATTATACTTAAAAATTAACAAAAATTGTTCAAAATTTATTTTAAACCCTAATAAATGTGATTCTGAAAAAAAAAAAAATATATGCGTATAGGTAAATTTTCTTCAAATTGTGTGAAAAATAAAAAAAATTACGGTTCTGGTTACCGCAACCGTTACGCTATGGCCTTTACACCGGTACCGCGTTACCGCAACCGTTACGGTCCCCGCAACCGTTTTTCAAAACCTTGGGGTCAATAGTTGGGCTTATCAAGTGAATTGTGTGTTCAAAGGGACTTAGAACTTTGTTCTGCTTCTGAAGCTGTTATTAATGTGCCATTCAGGTAAGCTCAACACAATTTGAAAACAGAGGTTTTCTGGAAGACAACCATAGTAACTACTGTAGCCTTCAACAGAGGTCTTTTGATCTTGTGTGTGGAATACTGATAAATATGTTAATCGTGTGGATAAGGACTTTTCAGATAAAGGAAATGGTTGGAATTTGAAAACACCTATAGCATTAAGTCATCGGTTTCATAACGAAAATGCATCTTCTCTTGAGGAGCTAAACCTTACCCTGAGCATTGGAGGGAGCAATAGGATTAAGGATGGTCGCAAGAGAACTTGGTATGAAAAACTTATTCATTCCTCACCCCATCATGTTATTGACTTGGAGGAATCAACCGATGTGTTATCAAATGAAGATGCCAAATCTGTATCTAGTTTTAGTCATGCTGCTCTGATCACTGGAGATAAGCATGACTCTCGAATTTCTGTCCAGTCTAATCAAGTCTCCACAGATAGTGTGAAAAAAGATTTATCTCATGGGGTTACAGTGAATTGTTCTCTCATAGATGGCAATGAAAGCTATGAGGAACAAAACTCCTTCAATCAAGGTTTGGCATTTCTTACATGCTTCCAACATATGTACAAGCCTAATGCTATACATAGAGAATTTGTATATAAAAAATTCATAGAGAATGATGTGTCTTATTTATATTCGTTCATTGGAAGTCAAAATGCCCCATCCCTTTGGTTCATATTTGCAAGAATGCTATTGCCATGTTTATGCACATAAAAGATATGCTTGGTTACTGTGATTCATTTATTCTGTATTCGGTTCGTTTCTGCAGGATTTGGTGATATCAAATGTAATGACATGTTCACTAAAGGGAAATCGGCTGCTCCTTATGAAACTTTGGATCTTAACAAAATTCATGTTGATGAGTCAGCTATTGAACCTTGCCCTATAGATCTTGAGCCTGTGTCGGGGCCGCTATCAGAAATTTGTGAAGACTTTGGCAGTGACCATAGGAACTCTGGAAATGGAAATATAGACTTGCTGTTAAAATTTCCAAAGGGAAATTATACAGACTTAACTACTGCAGAAGTAAATGAGGATTGTGAAGAAGAGTTGGTGTTTTCTCATCCACGTAGAAATGGAAATACAGTTGAAGATGGAAATAGCAACAAATCTTCTACCTCATGCGAGTCTGATTGCATTGTTGATGATAGTTCAAGTGGTGCAAAGACCATGCAATCTGGAACTGATTTGGGAGGATCAAATATTTCGACTTTGAATCATTTTTCTGAATCCCAGTCATCCCAAGTTGCAGAAACTCAATCAGGCGAGCAGGACTTGAGATCTTCTGACAACAGTGAACTGAAACATCAATGCTGCAACAAGAAAGAGGAATCAGCAGGAGAGGATGTTCTGATTCAAAATGCAGCCGAAGTGCTTATCTGTTTTTCCTTTGGAAGTTCAATGAGAAATCAAGATTGTGGTACCAAAGAAGGATCAAGATCAAATGAGATTGAAAACGAGGGGAGGGATCGGCCTCAATATTCTTTAGATTCTTATGAGTCGATTGTGTTGAAGTTACCAGAAAGCAGTGTGGATGACTATTGTGTGTCGTCAAAACCATTTGAAGTTGACGAACTTGATAACAAGGATTGTCGAAGTAAGTTGAGAAGGGGGAGGAGACTCAAAGATTTTCAGAGAGATGTACTGCCCGGTCTGGCATCTCTTTCTGAACATGAGATCTGCGAGGATATAAATATTATGGAAACAGTAATTAGGTCAAGAGAATACAAAAGAATGAGGTCGAAGATGGCTGGCGGAGGGAAATGGTTTGCACCTGTCAGAAGCAGGAGGTCGAGACTCAATTACGTTGGGCTACGATATTATTCATGACAATTTGTTGTGAGTAAGCAGTTGCATTATATTTGAATTTCATTGTAGATTAGCATACAATATTGAAAATAAATTTAAACTAATTGGGTTTCTAGTTATCATTGAATTGTAGGTTGATCCATTTCTTCATCTTCAATGAGGACAAACTTACATATATATATGTAAAGAGAAACTGTGATACTTATCAGAGAGAGATGGTTAGCCTAGCTTATAAATGTAATTTGTCGAGAGAGGATGACTCCAAATGCTGACAGTATTATCTATTTTGTTGGAGCTGTATAGATTAGACAAAATGCCTAAAATATTCTAAATGCTAATCCTATTGAATATGCTCCTAGTAATTGAGACTTAATGAATGGTCCACTAAAGAAGGTTTTCTCTTTTCTTTTACAAATGTGGGGCTTGTCTTTGCAACAAACAAATTAAAAGTTGGATCTGGACCGTCTTCAAATCAGACTGAACAGTCCAGTCTGGCCCGTTGGACTCATTTTGGCTCCCGTTTCGATTATTTAAACCGTTCACATTTTATGGTTCATTTAGTACATTATCTCTGTAAAAAATCAAGTCGATTGGATAACGGAAATTGCGTGTTCGAATTGATTTTTTGTGAACAGTTAATTTTCACACAATTCATTTTTTTCATCCAAAACTGATTTGAACATGTGGTTGTCGTTATCCAATTGATTTGATTTTTTGCATAGATGATGTACTTGACAAATGTTAAAATGTAAACAGTTTGGATTATTAGAACGGGATCCAAAAATGAATCCAATGAGCCAGATAACACATCTCCAGTTCGAAGAGAAGTCAGTCCCTTGAAAGGTACTCTTTTTATGACTTTCATGTCATAGGATGCGTCTGAAATTTTGTATTGAATCCAAGATTTAGATCTTAAGTAGAATTGTTTAACTAAGACCCACTGATCATCATTTTCAACGTGAATGCCCAAGATCTTCTCTCTCTCTCTCTCTCTCTCTCTAGGTAGGTTACACTGAATCCTTAAGATCTTTTAATCAATATGTTAAATCCTTTGGATTTACCTTTGTCTACAACCAAAGATGGGCCTAGATTGATGCATGAGTGGGTAATGAGTAGTACCATCATGCGTGATTCCTTATCAACCATTATAGAATATAGATGTGTTTAAGTGGTAGGCCCAACATTTCACGGTCTTAAATCTTATGTGAATTTTGTCAATATGATTATATATTCTTTACAAAAATTCACAACTTTAAAAGAATATACAATTATTTTAAAATTTATTAATTAATATTTTAAAAAGAAAATTAGTGAAATATTTCTTTTCAATTTTGGATAGTAAGAAAGGTTCAATATGCTTTTTCTTATTAGTTAAGATTTGTCGATAATATTACTAGAGAAATTTTAGCTTGTCACAGAGAAATTTGAATTCGCTATGAAGAATTGAAATTTTTTTGTGAAAAAAGAAATTCTTTGTAAAGAGTTGGAAATTTCTTTATCTGTGAAAATGTTGAGGATCTCAACTACTATAAAAATATTGTAGATCATTTATATTATAAAGTTCTAATATTAGAAATTTTAAACTAAAAATCCATACTTTTAAGACATTTGTTTATCTTTTATTTATTAGTATTTTTAATGAGTGCCCAAAGACTTGAATTAACAAATATTAAAACAATTATGTATTGTCTAGGGTTGAAAGTAGTACTCCCTACGTCCTATTTTGTTAGTCCACCTTTTCATTTTAATCCGTTTCAAAATATTTGTCTACTTTATATTTTGAGATACTAAATTTTGTTAGATTTTCAAAACTATCCACTATAAATTATTATAAGCATATTTTACATGCCTCCTTAATAAGTTAATTTTTTTTTTTTAATAGTGGACGAAGGAATTGGGACGGAAAGAGTAATTGGAATCACGATGATTAGAAAATAGAAACTTCCCTTGTAAATTAAGGGGATAGAGTAAACGAGATGAATGATTGATTAGTGATGATTTACTTAAGGTGAAAATTGCAAATTACTGGTAAATTCACAAAAAAATTATAAATTCTTGAAAGAGTTTATAGATTTAATTATTAAAATTAGTAAAATTTATTGCTAATTTGAAATTGTTTTTGAAAACATACACCGATTTGCAATTTTCCTTTTACTTTGTTTTGTTTTGTTTTGTTTCCTTTTGAACTCATACTTAACTGTTGGTTAGAACAACAAAATAAGCTATTGTTCAAAAAGTTAGTTTTCTTGACATATTATTGACTTTTTAATGACTTTTTAAAGTAATTTAAGTGCTCGTTTGGCAATGGCTTTTTAATTGACTTTTTTGACTTTTTTTGTTTGGGACTTTTTTAGTCGTTTAGTACTATTGTTTGGCTTTTTTGGCTTTGGAATGGCAAATTTTTTTTATCTTTTTGTGATTTTTGTAATTTTTTGACTTTTTTTTTTGCCCTTTTGTGATTTTTTGGCCTAATGAGTTTACCAAACGACCCCTAAGTTGGTTTTTTTAGTTGGAGCAGGAGCAGCCAAATGACAACTGATATTTTTATAATTTGAACTTATAAGCCCGGCTAAATGAGATTTTATGCTTTTACATTCAAATATATTGAATAAAACACAATAGTATATGTGAAGCCTTGTTCGGTATATTTGGTCGTGAATGTGTTTTTCATTCTTATTTTTTGTTTTTTGAACAAGAGAAACAAGCCAACCAACTTCAAGGAGAAATATCAAAAGAAATAAAGTAAAAAAAAAAAAACAGAAGATGGGTGTAGAAACCAATCAATTGGTAAAGAGTCGCGTAAATAATGTATTACACTTTGATCTAAAAAACTTCAAAAGCATCATGAGTAGTCAATAATAATACGCAAATTAAGAAGTAGTAGTATATGGAAAGCAATAATAAGCATGTTGATTCGTGTTGTATTCTTAGGGTAATGTTAGGAATACCAAATTTTCTATCAAATAAATGACCAAATGTCTCACATGGATGTGGGGTCTGCAAATTTGTGGACCCCACACCCATGTGAGATATTTGGTCATTTATTTGGTAAAAAATTTAGAACCTCTAGCATTTTCCGTATTCTTATTAGTATATATTTTTACTTGTCTATGGAATAAATAACTTTGTCTTCGATTTCATCAACCTCTTCTAACTAATTAACTTTACTTATGACTTGATTATTAACTTGTGTGTATGACTTAAGTAGGCAGCTTAAGGATAAAGCAATTCCGAGCAATTATTAATGGTCAATTTTATTAGGTAAACATGGGCCATAGTGGCTTAAATCCTACAAAATCTAACTTCTAAAGGTGACGGAAAATTTTCACAATCACGGCTTAATATTAGACCCGTTTGGTAACTAGTCAAAAAATTTTAAAAATAATAATTTTTTTTATGGAGATTAAATTTTTTAATTTAAATAGTGAGTAAATCACTTATGATCATAATGGAGTTTAATTTTTTGTGATTTACTCACTATTTTAATTAAAAAATAAAATAAATTACTAAATTGATGGAGATTTTTGTTTATCATCATAGATGATGAGATTGGATTAACAATCCAGTGAACTCCACATAAATCATATTTAGGAGACATGGGAGGGTGCTGTCACATCATCTCACTGTAACGACCACGTTGAGGTTTTTATTAATCTTATTTTGATGATCTGAACCTTTTATATTATAGGGTTTGTTAAGTCTATCATCTATATAAAAATTGAGGTTAATCGGGCATGCATAGCCTGATGATCGGACCATAATTGTTTTTAAAAAATTATTAAAATTATGCTAGTTAATTGTTTATTTTTTTTAAACATAAATATATAAGGCTACGGATGTCTAATTGATTTTATTATGGATAATCTATTTGGCGAACCTTACAATATAAACGATTTAAATTATTGAATTAAATTCAAAAAATAGCCCCACAAGCTCACAGCACCGTGTTGTGCCTTAGAGGCACAACACCCTCCCATATTTAGTTGGTAAAAATAATATGTGACTTAGTGTTTCATGGAACTATAAATCTTTCTACACGATGAGATTAGCAATTCTAATCCAATTTCTTAAGATTCGAAGTGAAAAGATTATTTTTCCCTCACTAAAAATAAACATGTAATTGCCTTCGTTTTTATTTTTATTTTTATTACATATATATATATATAATAAGCCTTTTAGGTCATTTTACAGATGTAATCCCAACAAACTAATATCATCACAACTAAATTCAATTCATCTTATATTTGTAACATAATATCTCTTATCACCTAATTGCACTACATTTGCGAGTCCAATCTATCTAATCGGACAATCAAATAGTACCATAGGTCCATCATCTAAAATGTCATTTGCATAGAGATAGCTCCTATTCCAGAAAAAGAAAAAAAAAAAAACTTTTGCGTAATAAAATGCTTCTATCAATCACGTATATGTAATTTCAACATAATAGTTAGAAATATATGTACACTAAATTTGACTTATTATGAAAATTAAAATCCGAATCTTTTTTTACAAAACTTATAGTAAACCTAATTGCACTACATTTGCGAGTCCAGTCTATCTAATCGGACAATCAAATAGTACCATAGGTCCATCATCTAAAATGTCATTTGCATAGAGATAGCTCCTATTCCAGAAAAAGGAAAAAAAAAAAAACTTTTGCGTAATAAAATGCTTCTATCAATCACGTATATGTAATTTCAACATAATAGTTAGAAATATATGTACACTAAATTTGACTTATTATGAAAATTAAAATCCGAATCTTTTTTTACAAAACTTATAGTAAGATTTTTTACTAATTAAAGACAAACAATCATATATTTATGTCATCATTTAAGCATCCTTTTGTCAAGAAATATCAACTCCACGTTGCGTGATCTTGGGTTGATTGTGGTTAAATCAAGTTTGATGTGTACTTCACTAAGGAAGGTTGAAGAAATTAGAGAAAACAAATAATTTGGGTTAAGAGTTAATCTTAGTTCCCATAAAATAAAATAAAAAAGATTTAACCTTAGTTGAGTGAGAGAAAAGATTGGTCTATAAAACATCAGCAATAGTAGGGATACTTACAAATTTACTAACAATCTTACTAACACACTCACAAGTTGATGTGCGTCCCATATCAAGTGATGGTTGATCTTACCAAAATTTACCAAGTAATGGTTGATCTTATCAAAATTTGTAAGTGTGTTAGTAAGATTGTTAGTATCCCTAACATTTTTCATAAAACATTAGTTTGGTGGTCTTAAATGCACAACGAATTTAATCTTGATTTTGATGCTAAATTTTAGCAATAATAAGAATTTTAATTAATTGGAGAAACTCTAAACCTAGCTTGGTTGTTCTTGACTTAAA